GAGCTTAAAAATGGGAACCAAATACAAATTCAAGGAAAGGAGATAGCATGGTGGCCCTTTGCACAAATACAAACCCATTATAAAAAAGATAGAGAACAATTTGGCTTTAATATGATCCCACAAGAATTAGATAAAATATGGCTAGGAGAGGAAAAGAAAACAATTAATAAAACATATAAATATCTTTTGGATTACAAATTAAAAGAAGAAACAGTCACAGAATCTATGATAATTTGGACTAAAAATGTAGGTCATAGTATTGAATTAGATAAATGGGAACACATCTGGCAAACAAATTACAAATTAACCATGTCAGTCTCGTATAAAGAAAACCTATATAAAATGGTTCATAGTCCAAGACCATTTCATTGGATACTTTTTGTAGCCAATGGTACCAACTTCAGGGATGTAATTCAAAGGCATCCATCTTCCTTTTTTGCTGGCAAACACTTCTTCAGAGTTTGAGGTTTTTTTTCCTTGCTTAAAATATCTTTGCCTTTCATATCATTTATCTTAATATCACCTTAATATCATCATATTAATCTCACTTTACTTCAGGATGCCATCTATCAATATTCTCATTCTTTATTGCTGCTAAGTATAAAGATTAAATCATTATTTCACTTATATTCTCCATTATCTATTTTATTTAACTATCTGATCTGAGGTCAGAGGTAAGTAGCTCTAAACATCGTTCTATTCCCCTTTTTTAAGATCTTAAGCAAAATGTTGCTTGTATGTACACTGAGAGCTTATGCGCTGGAGACGAATTCCTTGTGTGTCCAATCATACTTGGCCAATAAAGAATTCTAAATTCTAAAAAAAACCTAATTTACACATTCTCTTGCAGGTTCTTACTTTTAATCTCAAAGCCACCCAGTTTCTTCTGAAATCTTTTGACACAGTTAGCTCTTTTACTGTCTTTTCTCTTGCAGCTTTAAACAGTCCAATGGGCATTTTCACTTGCACCACGGGTTTTCCTATATGATAGTAGGTACTGCCTCTGGTTATGTCACTTATAGCGGAATAGTTTCTGAACTTTCACATGCTGTCTCTTGAAATGTTTTTGTCATTCTATAAAGCTATTTCTAAATGGCTTCGGTATTGTCTGTCTACTTTTTTTTTGCATTCATTTGCCTCTTTTTCATTTCTTCTCTGCTTTCTCTTTAATAATCCTATCTTAGTTGTAAATTTTCTTCTGATTTTCTTATAAAACAGCTCTCTATTTCTTTAGCTTTTTTCTTTCATTCCTTTGAGTTCTTAATTGAGACTTATTCCCTTGTGCTTTCTTGTTTACACTTTAAAATGCTACATTCAGTCATTGTACAACTTTTATCCTCTGTCTCTTCCCTGACTATAACAATAGCATCTTTTGATGGGTACTTGGATCCTTTCCTCTTCAAATATTTCCCCCCTCTTTGTTTTTTTCATTATTAAGTGCAGCTGCTCAGATTCACTTTTGCATAAGCTAAGGATAGCAGATCTGTTCCTTATACTGATCTTATCTTTTGACTGTACGTTCTTGAGGTCATACCTTTCTGATATAACTTCTGGAAAAACTGGAAACAATTTTCCCCTTAGAGAGTAGACAGCTATAACTCTGGGAACAAAGGAAATCAGCTTTAAAAGAAAAGAGAAAAACTATGTGCAGAGAGTGAGAAGGTTGAGTAAGAAGTGGGAAGAACTCTGGACACCAGTAACTAATAGATAGTGCAGTGTAATAGAAGTTTATCTAATTAATAGAAGTTTATCTAATTAACAGGAAGAAAAGATTCACAACATTTGAAAGAGAGGATTATCATAACAAGTGGCGTTACCTTCTACTTTAGCGATAGAAGAGGGCTGGAAATTCCTATTGCGTTTCTAGGATTCTGTATCAAATTCCTAATTCTTATACTAAAATTCCTGATTGAAGTCTGTGTAATTCTTGATCATGTCCTGCTGAATGGGGCTTGACAGTATAAAACACTTCAATTGACAAGAAGTATTTTTTAAACTATTGCAGTTATTTGTGGCTCCTCAAAAAATTGAGCCATTTTAAGACCCAAATTATTTCGGGTCCTGCCAGGCATAAATGGGGCAGAATGTCTAGGATGTTATATCCCTTTCTACCTCCTTATACAGGGAGTTCTCAACTTATGACTGGTCACTTAGCAATTGTTCAAGGTTACAATGGATTCTTACAATCCATTTTTTTCCTCAAGATATTTTATACTTTATTTTCTAGAATCAATCAATGTTCTTTTAAAAAAATAATATCAAAAGTACAACAAAGATATCCACAAATATCCACAATTGTTATACATCATCCTGCTGACACTGGGCAGATTTCAGAAGGATCCAATGTAAAACAACTCTTATTGAAGGAGGGAAGGCAGAAATATCATAGATGCATACAATTACATCTTTAATATCACATCACTACCGTATTTTTAGCAAGGCTTGCTGATGGCCTACTTCCAGTTCCCTTTTTTTTAGAAGGTATTTCACGAACAGGAAAAAAAGCAGAGAAACAGCAAAAACCAATACTGACGTGTTCAGGTAATTAAGACAAAATGTGACATGTATGCTCATGATGTCTTACTAAACCAGAGGCAGATCCACAAACAAACAAAACACGGTGAAAAAACAATTTTAAAGTGCTGACATCTGTAAACACAGATCACATGATTGCATTTTGGGCACTGGGCAACCAGTTCATTTTTATGGCTGTTTGCAGCATCCCATGGTCACAGGACAATATCTTTCTACATTTTTTTGCTAGTTCCCAGCATTTACTCCCAGTTTTTGGCAAAAAACTGTCATTGGATAATATGGCTTCACTTAACAACCACCCCGAAAAAGTTTGTAAAATCAGGCAAGGCCAGATAGTGACCTATCTTAACAACTATAATGACTGTAATTCCAGGCTCAATTAGGTCTTTAAGTCAAGGACTATGTATATACAAAATACAAGTTGCCTTATACTGCAACTAGCTCAGTATAGTCTGCACTAAATCCCAAAACTATCTCCAGATTTCAGAGGATTTTTTTTTTACTTCCCTCCCCTTTACTAGAGATACAGTTAACTAAACAATTGCATTTGGCAGGGAGAAAGAAATAATAATAATTAAAGACATGCCTAGCTACAGCCAAGCACTGAACTTTCTTCCAAACAGATGTTGAAGCTACTAAAATATAAGAAAGGAAATGTTTAATACAGCTGCTTGGCAGACAATAAAAATTTTATCAGACTAAAACTTTAGAAACCTTATCACATTACATGCCTTCACTATAAACTATCCAGCCTCCTTTTATTAAAAGTTTAATCTTAAGGCAGCCACAGTTTTATGTCTCTCCTCTTTCTTCAATACGCTTCATTAGGACATTTTAAATATAGCAAATGATTTATTCAGTAAAGGTTAAAAAGACACTTCACCATGGATTCTGCTGGGATCACATCTGGATGCTTTTCTACTAGGGGAAACAAGATAGAACAGATGTTTTTAGCTATGAAATCCAAGGCTGTATTAATTTTCCCCACTTAAAAAAATAAAAAAGGGGCACAGGTATTGGCTATACTTTTTTACATGCATTTGTTGATTGAGCACCTTCCATTTTCTATTATTTACATGTAAAAATCTCCCAGGTTCTCTTTGCCAAATGTCCTTATCTTCTCTAGCGCTACTGGAATGACCCAAAACCACATAGCAGAATGGGGTATTTTTACACATAAATGACAGCAGAACAAAGACCATAGTCATCTATAAGAGGCGCAAGGGGAATGTAACTGTAATAAAATGTTTTGCAATACAATTTCTGTCCTTTATGTACCTGTGTAAATGGAAGCATGGCAGGATGGAAATTGTATCCTGAAAGGTACACAATGCCCCAGATTAAGAAACCAATGCCATAGAGGTGAGGGCTACATTTATTGTACAGGTAGTCATCGCTCCAAAACCCTAATTGGGACTACATTTTTCTTTGCTAAGCAAAGCAGACATTAAGCAAAATGTCACATGACTGCACTGCCTAGCAACAGCTATTCCACTTGTCTTTGTTGTGGCCAATAGGCTGGGATTGCACACATCGTTGTTAGTCCCAAAGGTGCTTTACAAGAGGCAACTGGACTTTCTAGTTTTTCTTTGAAGACATTTCACTTCTCATCCAAGAAGCTTCTTCACTTTTCAGCTTCTCGGATAAGAAGCAAAATGTCCTCAAGGAAAAACCAGAAAGTCCAGTTGCCTCTTGAAAAAGCACCTTTAGGACAACCATGATCTGGATGACTGAGAACCACCATAGATATACACCATTGTTAGATGAGGACCTCATGCAATACTCACCTCCACTTCAATTCTCTACCCTCTTCTGCCCTTTTGGTCACCCAACACTCCACCATCTATCCCTGCCATCACCCACCACTTCTGGCTGACCTTTGCTATCTTCTTCCTTTCATTGGGAGAGCCTCTGGCTGAAGCAGCTGCTGGCCCTGCCTAAAGCCTCGCAAGCAGTGGAAGAAGATGGTGAAGGTCAGCTGGGGTGGCAGGATTAGGCAGCAGTAGAGTGCCTGGTGGCCAAAAGGGCAAAAATGGAGGGGGGAAGAGTTGAAGTGCATGCTGCTGTTGTAAATGCAGGTAGGCTACCAAGTGACCAGAGAGAGTTTCTGTTGTACATCAAGTTGAACCCAATTTTACTTCAATTTTTACAGCAGTTGTTTTGAATGAATCAGGTAGTCATTAAGTGAATCCAGTTTTCCCAGTGGGTGTATTTTTGCTGAAAAAGTTTGCAAATCACAATCGTGTGATCACCGGATGCTTCAACCAGTTGCCAAATGTCTGAATTGCAATTATGTGACCATGAGTGCCATAAATGCAACTTAAGTCATAAGTCCCTTTTTTTGAGGCATCATAACTTCAAATAGTTATTAAACTAATGGTTGTAAGTCAAGGACTATCTATAGTACTTTCTTAAGCTAGTCTGGATTTCCCAAAACAACAAAGGAAGTTTTGAAATAAACTTACCTATGCATGTCCGCCCATCATCTGAAAACTGATAACCCTCTAAACATTCACATCGGAAAGTCCCTGGCTGATTATTACACACAGCATTACTGCCACACACTGTTGGCTGCTCCTGGCATTCATCTACATCTGAGTAGAAAAGCAGCATTATTATACAACTGCCACTCACAATTCTTTAAAGAAAGAGCACGATATATATCTGTGTTTAGTTTTAGTTCAGCTAAAAGGCAATCTCTGTTTTCCAAACAAAGCTGTTACAACAGAGAGTAGAAGCACCAGTCAAGATATAAGTGATGAAGAATGTAGTATTTGATTTTGTCATATTAGGATATTGATGTGTTTTTACTCCATCTGATTCTTACAGCACAGTAATTTAATATCATGACAACATCAAGGTGTGCACAAGAGAAGGTGAGTATTTATTTTTAAACCGAAAGTACCTCAGAAGATTGCAGCTTTGCAGTAGATTAATAAATGGTGGAAGTACATGGCTAATCCATATTTTTCTCCTAGTCACCATGCTATTCAAAATTATCTTCAGATTGCTGTGCAATCATTGTGAAAAATTCTAAACATAAACATAACTCAAGCAGGACAGCAGCAATTCTATACTGCCACCCCTCAGCTCTGATACACAACCTCTCAAGAAAGCATTTTCATTTTCTTAAAACAACAATTGGTGCAATAGCTATTATTGCAAATCACCTTTAGTTTGGCCCTGAGAAACCATGAGCAAAAGTCAAGGCAGTATTAATTGTATGGATTGGCTCAGGTTTCCCCCTTCCCCACCTCTCATTTTTGCAGATGATAGGTAGGAATTGAGTTTTATCTTCAGAATTTTTATTGTGGTTCCCGTTTGGATAGCATTCCTTATGGCTATGGGCAAAGGACCATTTCCAATCGGAACAAAGGATTAAAACTTCTTTCTTGGGTCTACATTCCCAATCTAGGTGTAGTGGGTTTTTTTTAAATCCCAGCAGGAACAGGCCAGATTATACAAATAACCTCTATGTGTATACTTCACATATACTGTAGTTCTGTCCTAATTTGCAGAGCTTCAAAGTAAGCAGAAATGCTGTAAAAAGATATTGTATAGAGTACAATTTGATCATATTGCTATTTTTTGTTGAGGAAATCAAGTGTCTTTCTGTTGGCAGACATATACATGGGGGAAATATACCAGAATTTGTTATGTATAGCAAGTATATAACAAATAGCAAACAGCAAAACATAGATTCTGAAAGTGAATACAGTTATGAAAAATCACATTGATTTTACATGTCCTATTAAAAATAAAATTCTTACCATAACATGTCCGTCCATCTCCCCGGAAACCCACTGAGCATTCACAGGTAAATTGATTGCCTGTTCCTGGACGACAAACTGCATTAATATCACAGCCATGGGTGCCTGTGTAACAAGGATTGCGACTTACATCACCTGAACCATCTGCCAAGAGACCATAGAAGATACTTTTAAAGAAGATTATCTGAAAAAAATAATCTAACTATATCTGTGCTCTTGAAAATGTGGTTTATATTAGCACTGAATGATTTCCATGTCAATAAGATGCCGATGGGTGTAAAATTGGGATAGCATAGTTTATATTCCTCATGTTTGTAAAGACAAACCATGGAAAAAGATACTGAACAGAAGCTCTAAGTTCTTCTAAGCCCATATATTATTTCTACATATAGAAATTCTAAGCATTTCTCTCAATTCAGAATAACTTTATAATTAAATAAATAAATAAATTTAATAAATAATAACTATGACATAATGGAGTGAATTATAGCTGTATTCAGGGGTGGGATGCAAATGTTTTTGCTATGAGTTCTGTGGGCGTGGCTAGATGGGCGTGGCCATGTGACTGGGTGGGCATACCTTTTTTTTTTTTTGCAGTCCCTCCCTGTGCTCTGTTTTTCTGCCTCCTGGGCCTCAGGGAAGCCTCCTGGGAGGCCGTTTTTGCTCCCAGAAGGCTTCCCTGAGGCCCAGGTTTGCTGTGCAGCCCCCCTGCGCTCCCCCATTTTTTGCCTCCTGAACAGCTGATCACCAGGAGGAAAATAAATAAATAAATAAATAAATACCGGTTCAGCCGAACTGTTAACATTTTTTAGTACCGGTTCACTCAAACCAGTAGAATACCCCCATTGGTTGTATTCACAAACAGCATGCTGTATTTCTACTCAGTTTTACCTCAGACCAATTTTGTTACCTAACCCTTATGGATGATTTATCAAATGGATTTGAAATCCAGCTTTTAGAATGTGGTCGATCTATATCTGTCTGCCTGTCTGTCCATCCATCCATCTGTCTACCTTCCAGTTATAACTCAGTCTGACTTCTGAACAATTTCAATTATTTTAAAATCCAATCATTTTAATAATAGCATATCACTGTAATCAAATTGTGTTATGCAATGACTTCATAAGTGATCTTAAGCACAGACATCTAATAAATGAGTTATCTTACTTATGAAATTTCATGGTAGAATGTTAACAAATCAGATAGCAAATATTCAGAAAGAAAATATTCTTTAGCTATACCCAAATAGTAAGGTATTTCTCATTTAAGGAAGTAATTCATATGCACTTACATGGCAATAAATCTTACTGAAATCCCTGGAGCTTACTTTAGAGCAGCCGTATATAGGTTTGTATTTATTATTAGTTTTAAAAAACAAATTGCTTTTATGTCTGTTGTTAGAACATCACAAAATCAATAACGCTGTTCATGAATCACCTCATTCTGAAGTGAATATCAGAGAGCAGAAGACAAAACATTCTCCTTTTGAAGGAAGGTTGAATGTTTGGGTTTTCTAACTAACAAAAATATCACTAAAGGAGCAAATAACAACAATTTATGAATGTATATATGAGGGGTGGGTAGTGAATATTTTTCCTCATATTACCAGCACTCAGGGTCATTCATTGTTACTGGATGGCACAGGTAGTTCAAGGCAGGGACAAGAAAATAATTCTTCACTAAAATATATATGGAATTCATTGGCACACAATACAGTGATGGTTACTAGCTTACTTTAAGCAAAGATTTGTGAAACTCATAAAGAATAGAACTGTTAATGGAACTTCTAGGATCAAAGGCAGTCAGAAACTAATTTTAGAAATGAACAGCAGGAGGTTGACTGTGCCTTCAGTTATTACATCCTGGAGATGTTTGATTTGACTCTGTGGGAAGCAGGATGATGGATTAGCAAAAAGAAGGGCTCTTTTATATGGACTGTTGCATCTGAAAATCCACAAATATAAAATCAAAGTCAGGCTTCTATGCAAAGGCAGTAGAAGTAAACCAGGCTAATCATCACCAAACGTACCAATGGGACCAATTGAATTGCTCATTGCATATCGCAAAATCTGCTCCTCTTTGTTATATAACACAAAAACACTGTCCACTGACAGCTGCTGAGTGGCTGAACCAGAATGATGGGAATCATCATGGATGCATTCATCAAACGAAATAGTTTGTCGCCACTGATAAGAAACTGTGTATGTTGGTGATACTCCATTTCTTTCTGGCTCCGTCACAGTATACTCTCTAGTAGAAGAGGATGTGATAACTGAAATATATGAAATAAATTCATATTAATAAAAATTAGCCACACTTGAATATATTTCATTTTACATTACAATATTAAAATATGGCAGAGAATCTAGCTCTACAATGATGGGGCTGACTCTCGATAATTCATTCACAGAAGACTCCAAAAGACATCTTATTCCTACTGACAGAGAAAATGGGTGGGGGGAACTTATTTATTTTCTTGTGCCTCTGCACTCTTTCGTCACATTTCATGCTGCTTTAGAGCTATTTTGCTTCTTCAGAACAGCTTTTCAGACTCAGGGGGGAGGAATGTGAATAACAGAAATTTGTTTCACTGTTTCTTTCTCCACTCTGAATTGAACACTATTTGGGAGGAGGGGTTTCCAATTCATTCCTTCATAAAAAGTTAATATTTATTTTATCTTTTCATATATTTATACAATAGTTTAAGTCAAATCTCAACAATATCAATCAGCTAGTGCTTAATTTATATTCAGTTCACTTTTATTCAACTAAAGATGTTAACTTTGCAGTGTTGAAAAATGCAACTTTTTATATTGCGTAACTAAAGACAACAGCTGACATGTTCAAAATGTTGAACTGGACTAAAGAAAAGCAGCAAATCTCTTGAGACATGTTTCCCAATCTCAGCATCTTTGTGTGGACTTCAGTAGAATCTTCTTAAAATGATCCATTTTTCTCATCAGGTTTCATAATAAATCAGAAATATTTCCTGTTCCATCACACAATTCAATTTTTGTACCATGTCTTGTTTTGCAATCTTAAATTCCATCCATCAAATGGATGTTTTTGAGACCAAACTCTTAAAATCTATGAAATGGTAAACAACACTGAACAGTTAATCAATTGATTGTAGGTCTAACAGATCTAGATGACAAAAATCTGGACAATTGCTAGCTGTCAGCTAAGAGGCACAGAGAACTCAACACTCTACAGTCATCTAGTGGTCATCTGGATTTTTGAAGCCCGCATCTGGTCAGCCTAACTGGAGTACAAATTGATAAGACTTGAGTACTGAACAATTTCATTACCGAAAGGTAAAGCAAGTTCCACACAATGGATGTTTACATTTCTATATAATAAGAACAATGTGAAGCATCTTTTTTATTGGTAATTATAAATGACCACATAAGGTTTCCTGGAATATAAATTGGGGAAATAAAAAAAATGTAGCTCTAAGCTTTGATTGAAGTTTTCATAATCTCTACAAAGGTTAAAAGTTGAATTGAAAGTGTTAATGAGAGAGAAAGGGAAAATTATTAAATACAAACTGCTGAAATAAACTGTATTTGTGGAGTGTAGTCCTTAGCATGTTCCTCAAAATTCTCAATTAAGGTAATCCCTTATTTTGAGCATATGGCTGGAAACTAATCATTTTGATCAGAATTTTTGTTACCAAATATAAAGGTTGGCTAAATTGGTTGGCTAAAACTGCAATAAATTAGACAACTTCAATGTCTTGCTACAAATCAAACATACATGATACCAAGGATATAATTGTACAGTACACACTCAATTGTGCTAGCCTGCAAATACAATACTTACACACACACACACACACACACACATATATATATATGGAGGGGAAACAATGGAACAAAATACATGTTTCGCAGAGTTGGCAGAAACTGACTTACCTACCACCTTTTTATCTCAGCAACCCCCAAGCTCCCCCAATCCATCAACTCTGCCAAGAATTCTGAAACTAGTAAATGCATGACTAGTTAGGAAAATCTTTGAATTAAAAATGGTTGTCATTAATCAGTATCAGTTATCTCCTTTCTTCAATAGTCCTTAAGAAGTTTCCTGGGGGATAAGCTGAAAGAGCTGCTATGAAGAGGGAAGGGATGAAAAGTTAGCTTTGAACACCCGTATTTTGGATATGTTGATTTGAGTTCCAGCCACTTAATATTAATTAGTTTCATAAATGGTGTGATATACCTCCTTTGATTAAAAAGAGGTCCAGCCTGGAGAGACCAGAGACTGAATAGATGATTTCAACCTGCATTAATAGATTTGGCTGCAAGCTTTCCAAGCAACAAGTCTGAAAATGTAGTTAACGTACCTGAACTAGAAGAGTGATAAAGCTCAGTGTAAGGCTCTATATGGACAGATGAGCCAAATGGGATCTCAGGAACTTTGCCTTCAAGTTCCGTGCTGATTGTAAGATGCCCATGTTCATCAATCCCACTGAACTTCTGCTTGATGATCAGCTTTTCATTGTTGCTGAGAAAGGTAACTTCTGCTTGCCTTGTAAACTCGCCACCTAGAAGATAAATTACATTAGGTTTTATTTATCTGTTAGAAGAGCCACCCTCTATGTTGAAATGTTAACCTTTAGTCTTGGTTCACCTAACCAGCTAAACCTTAAGTGGACTGTTTGCTTTTGGTTTAGTATTAAGTATATACACTAACTGTGATTTTGTTAACAAGCTATAGTTTATATGTCTGAAGTCTAAGAAAATTTAACAATTAAAGAAACCATGTTTTAATATGATTATGGAATCAGATTCTGCCTACGCAACCCATGGTCTATTTTTCTTGCCCATATTTGGAGCCGGCAATCTCGTTTTCTGCTTTTGGTGCCTTCTTGCTTTTATTATTATAATGGCTTGTTGCACAGTCAGCCAGATGTTTAGACTGGATTTGATATTTTATCCTACAAGGACCTGTTGAGTCCTTCCCATGGACCTGGGATTGGCAGATGCTGTTTGATGTTATTAAAGGTTGTATCAAAGGCTGTAAGCTGTTCCAAAGTAAAACTGTCTTTTGTAATTGATTGGTGGCGATTTTGTCAGTTTCATGGAGTTTAAGTAGTGCTCCTGATGTTTTTGGGCTGCACCCAAGATGCCTGTTATTATTGTCAGTATTTTTTTTCTTTCTTTTCACTTTTATTTGCAAGTTTTCATAGTTTATCATTTTTTCTAGTATATGATGATGATGATTATATTTTTATTAATAGTATGGGGGAAATGATGAAAAAAATAGTTTGTGAAAGAAAAAACAGTATATTATGATGTGGTTTTGCTGCTTGTCTTCTTCTGAAAATAGTTATAATGACCTTACAAAGCCTCCTCTGTAGGAATGTAGAAATCATCACAAATATTAAAACATAAATATAATACATAATTTTAAGAACAAATGTTAAAAATTACCAGTAACACTGAATCCATTTTGGTAACCTTCCTGTTCCACGGCAAACATCCATCCAATGATACCCCCAATGGAAGCAAGAGGAAGCAAGGAGAAACCCAAAGTTTCTGGAATTGTGCTAATGGCCGTGTATGCACGCCCATGGTTCATCACAACATATGAGTGGAGGTCAGTATTCTCAAATACAACTGGTATTGGGTTGTTTCCAACAAAGATCCGTCCTTTGACTTTTCCATTGACTCGCTGAGGAGAACCTAGTAAAATGTAACAGGAAAATGTAAGTATTGTATTCCTGTAGCATTGTAAATCTTGGTTAATATGAGAGGGCTCAAGGTTGATACAGCCTTCCATCCTTCTGAAATCAATAAAGTGAGGATACAGATTATTGGGGACACTATGCTGACATTATAAACTGCCCCAAGAGTGTTGTAAAGTACTATGAAGTGGTATATAAGTCTATATACCACTAATTGCTATTGCTATTAACCAACAAGCAAGTTGTATTCTTTTAATAACAACTTCAAGAACACCAGAAAAATATGGATTTAATTTCTTTTTCAGATTAACAATTTTAAAAATAATTTTGCATTAATTTGAAATTCTGTAATAGCGAATAACATTTTCTTTAATTGTTTCAGAAAGTTAAGTATTTCAGAGTTCTCTACTATATCCTGGACTGGATATTATACAAGATCTTGCACAGTGTCTAGTCTGCTCTAAAAGAATAACATTTACATTCACCAAAGAAAAGACACTTCAGAAAAATGCTGTGCTATATTTTAGATATTTAATTGGAAATCAACATTTACCTTCAGCTACACATTGCCTGCCATTTCCTTTGTAGCCAACAATACAACTGCAACAAAAGCCACTTGGGTAGTCTTTGCAAACAGCATGAACTGAACACTGATGGCGGTTGTTTGTACAGCTTTGCTGGACATCTGTATTGTAACGGAACACTGTGGAGCAGGGGGAAACACAGATAGAAGACTGGTTAAGCTCACAAAATTTTAAACCAGTTATGGTGTCTTTCATCTCCCCATTTGTTATTTATAAAATGTACAGAATGCAGAACCACATAATATAGGAATATCTTTCTTATTGTAGAGCTAATGTCTCCTGAATTACTATTGGCCACATTTAATTCTCCAGCACCCAAACTCTGCTGGTTGTGAAACAGAATAGAAATTCAGCCCTAGTAGAGCCAAAAGAAACAGACTGATGTCAAGATCCAATTTTACAATTTTTCTCTTATCTGATAGCAAGATGCTTTTTTCATCCCTGGCACCAGACTTTCTCTTGCATTGTTCACAGACTGTCCTCCCTCAGCAGCTCCATCTAGCCTCCATTCTCCAAGCTTTTAAAAATGTTTTGCAATACTTTGAATTGTTAGGTGGTGTTGGTATTTTTTACTATGGATTTTAATCTTCAATATTGCTTCCATTGAGCAATGAGAAATAATCCAAAATTAGTAGACATATGTTTGACATATAATGTGCCTCAACTCTGATATGCATGTCAGGAAAGAAGTATACAAGTTATTCACAGTGCACTATTGAATATTCCAGCTCTCTCCCTCCAGTTAGTTAACAATGCTATTTTCTCTACCTACCAAGTACCAAGACTGCAAAGCTTTTATAAGCTCTACAAGGTAGACTAGGCTAAAAACCAAAACCATATAGGTCAGGAGTACTTTTATGGTGACAGCCTCAGTAACAGAATCTTGCCAGTCTGAATGTCCTTCCCCCTCCTCCACTTTATATTCCTGTGAACTAGA